CATACACTGTTACTGTCCATGTAGCAAAAGTGAAATGTTTTTCTCTGGATTCAAATTTCAAACTCAATTAAGTACATATGCATCTGTCAGCTGCTTCACTCCATGAGCTTATACTTCACATAAATGTTATAATGACTTGAGAATATTTAATTGCACTCAAAAATACTTCTATTTAAATAAAAAGGATGTTTTTATTTTCAGAAATCTGTGATAGTCTGAAATCAAAAGAATTTTCTCAGCAGTCTTGAATACCATGTCATATTTTTACTTGAATAATTCATTTTCCATTATTAGAATTTTTAGGTCTTCATATTACCCATCTCTAGAGTCCCAGTTCACAGTAGGAAGATTGTACAAAATTCTGATCAGTTCTTTCTGATGACTGTCTTTCCATATCATGCTAAATGATGACCTCTGTTTCTTCTGTGAAGCCATTAATGAGATGTCGTAAGAAAGATTAACAAAGTGAATAAATCAGAATAAATCAGAATCAATTTCTGATTGAAGGTCCAGTCACTTTAATAATCTTGGTGACTTCACCCTTAACCTGTTTTGGCGTTCTTGAAACTCACTTTCCACTCCTAAATTAATAGCAGATTCTGTACTAATACCAGTAGTATCTTCATGTGAATTCCTTAGCTCCATGTGTTATTTGAGTTTGGAAGTGGTTAATCTACTCAGGATTTGCTGTCACAGACATTTTGTTTCAACAGAGATTTTTCAAGTGATTTTTTAAGACAAGGTTTTATAAAAATTTACATTACAAAATGTGAAAGTGTTTAATCATTAACAACTCTGACTTCAGTCAGTACAAATGTTAGAATACCACAACCAAATTGTGGATAGAGCATATGATTTTGTTCATTTTCTATTCCAGAGTATTTTCGACAGCAATCCTATATCACTACAAAAAATTACTCAGCTTGTTTTGAATTTTAGTAACTAATTTTTTCTCTTTACTTAGACCATTATCAAACTTTTTTAAAGACATAATTGTGAAGTGGTCAAAGGAGTAACTTTGATAGATCAAATGACAAAGATATTCAATTTGGAACATTCCCAGAACTTTGAAAGTAGAAAACTTCTACTGACTGTTTAGCTTCAATAGAATCCTTTCACTATTCTACATTAGAGGTAGGCAAGCTATTGTCTATTGAACTTTGAGTATTTTCTAGTCCAAGACAATTGTCAAATTTCTTTAATGGTAAAGTTTGAGTATTTTGAAAGACAAAGTGTCCCTCTATAGAAAAGTACAGGCCAAAATTTCTTACTGCTCTGACTGTAATTTTTGTTTTAACACAAAAACTAAGTCATCTGTCCCCTATTTCTTGAGAATGGAGACACTGAGACAGTGAGAATTGGGAAGACAGTTTGGCAAAGATTCAAAAAAAGAAAAAATACACTTTTTTTTTCCCATAATACTTTCTTAATGAAGATCATTAAAGACGGTGAGAGAGTGAGACAGAAAAACCAGCATAATAGGTTGTGGCCCTTTAAAAATCAAAGTAATTTCTAGTCAACAGATATCTCTACTCTCAGAATAATATTCTATGCTATAATTATAATGAAAACATAAGGAAAAAAAAATGAGAGGGGAATTTCTTTAGCAAACTTACATTTTACAGGCTGTAGTAGTCTGGTATAATCTAATATACAAATAGTAAATACAATCATAACCCTTTAGTCATCACTTCTCGTGAAGCCATTTTCTTAGAAATAGACATCTACTGTATTTGATCTGTATGAGGATATAGATGACAATGATACAGATTGGTAAGGTAACATAAAATTTATAGCACTCTTCTGGATTGTCATCTCAGGGAAACTGGTATACTCCAGAGCATTTCAGATTACACTAGTATTGTGTTTACTAAATCCAGTCACAAGTTACTCAGCTGCTTCTTTTCATACACTGATTTCACTGGTCATATTGACAACTAACTCAACTAAAAACTCCAGCTCACATAAAGAATACTCAAGTATAAAGAATCTTAACAGTATAGAACAAGTAGTTTGCCCACCTAAGTTGCAATGAGCCTAATTGAAAGAACAGTGTTGGTGATATCTCACTGTATGACTGCATCTGAGGAGAAAGGTAATTTTTACTATGGAACATTTTGTTTGGTTAGTTACTCATTTTTAAAAACTTCATGACTTTTGAAACACATGTACAAATGATTTACAGCTTCTTTCAGCTAAGCAGCATACATAATGATATGATGGTATCACTTAAGACTGAGCTAAAGTCCATGTCGCCCTAAGTCCTGTGCTTTATTACCAGGGATATCATTCAGCAAAGTATTTCATAGCTTAATTACAACTTATATGATGAACCACTAACTTACCTTTGATCCTCTTTGATCTTTTATTGCATAGGGAAACTCAGTAGTTTTTAATCAATAGAAAAGTTATACATTAAAATGTAGAATTCACTATCCACACAGTAATATAGTGCTCCGTTAATTTCTTCAATATTTATAGTAGCAAAGATGTGAAGAAGATGACAGTAAGTGACAATCAAGGCAGTGACTAAAAGAAAACGAAATAAACAGCTAGATAAAATCTGATTTTTGCCTTGTTAGAAGGAAAATGGTAATAAAACTATAAAACTATATCTGAGTGTTGTTTAACTTTTTTGTTTGTTTGTTTGTTTTTTAAATACTAAAGCAGTCCACTAAAGATACAGTGCTTAAAGTACATGTTTTCATTATCTTTATTTAGGTGAAATGTGTCAAAATAATGATGTAATATCAGGAAAATAAAAAGTGAGAGCACATAGAGTAAGAAACTGTAATAAACAAGAGCATGTGAAGTGAAGAAAAAGAATTAATTCCTTTACTATCTTAGTAGGAATCTTAGGTTGGAAGAGAATAGGAAATTTGTGGCAAATGTCATTCGGTAGATAAAACCAGATGATAGGACAAGCAAAGAGCTCAAGATAGCAAATAATCTTTTTAAGAGATGAGATATTTTCAACAGCACACAAGGTTTTAAGAGAAAAAAAAAGGAATCTCAAAAGCTGTGGTAGTGAATGTGATTCATGCAATCCAGGAGTAAAAGAGGGAAAGAGGGAAACATAAAGGATGAAAAAATAGTAAAATTTGTGTTAAATGAATGAGTGCTGTTGAAAATATATAGCAATTTTGACTGACATGTTTGGAAAACTCAAAACTTTTCAGATAGGGTAGTGTCTGTGAAGTCTATTTAAGCAGATTGCAGGCAATAGAGAGATTTGGGAAGAAGAACAAGCCACTCTTTCAAAGAATTTATGATAATGGATTTGTAAACTGATCAAAAATAAACAAATCAGGAATACAATGGTACCTAAATATAAAAACAAATTCAGGGCATTCCCACTTGGGAGAAAAGATGTTTTTGGCCTAAAGCAGGCTTTTGTTACAGCTGCAGCTAAATTCTGTTTAAGGTATTTAAATCTGAACAATTATGAGGTGAATTAAGTTGGCAATGGGGAAAAAGTGACAGGAAGATTACTAAAGCAGATTACAAATTGTTAATTTTCACGAAAACTTTAAAAAGGAAAGAAAGAAGTAAGAAAGAAAGAAAAGTAAGGAAGGAAATAAATGAAAGGGAAAGAAGGAAAGAAGGAAAAGTAAAAAAAAAGGGGGGGGGGAATAAAAAAGAGAAAAGAAAAAAGAAAAAGGAATAAAGAAATAAAAAGAGAAGAAAAAAAAACAAAAAGGAAAAAAAATAACAGAAAAGTAAAGGGAAAAAGAAAGAAAAAATGGAAAAAAAAAAAAAGAATAAAGAAAAAAAGAGAAAGCATGTTGAACATTGCTCTCAAGAAGTTATATTGTAAGCACATAGAATCAAATTATGAAAATGTTGACTAAAACTTTCTTAGATATTTTCTTTATTCGGGAGACTCAGTGATATTCTCTAATGCAAGAAGACATTGTAATTCAAACTATTAGTCAGAAAGTGATTTCAAATATAGTATTCTACACTGGGATGTTTTGAGTCTGACTTCTGAGACCAAAAAGATGAATGATGCATCCAATACAAAGTAACCTAACTGTTAATCTTAGCCATCATAGCATTATAGCAGTGAGAACTAGACTACCTTAATCTTAAGAGAGAGTTGGTGGCTGAGACCTCTTCATGTCCATACTGGTCTTTCTCGGGAGAAGACTTTCCTGAGAAATGTCAACTATCTACATATTCCTTGGACTCTTGTCTTGTGTCTTTGTACCAGAGATATGACTCTCATTGAATAAATAGTTTGAAACATATGTATGCTGGTATTTTCCACCCTTGGTAAGAATTTTCTGACTATTAAATAATGATTTTATAAAGGCAAAAACTCAAATTTGATTTTCTGATAGTCATTGCAATAAAAATTTTGTTCTTACAATTTGTGCCACCACACAAATGGAAAAATAATATTATTTTGATTGGTTGTACCCAGAGAGATGTAGGTTTTTTTGTTTATTTTTCTGGATAAGACTTTTTTTTCCTACTTTCACATTTTTTGAAGAGCATGTTAGGGACAGTCTATCAAAACAGTCATCCCTTACCTATGTGATAAGCAGGTATTAATTACAAGAATTTACACTAAACATATTAAAGCACAACCTGGAGTGGCTTGTTTCCTAATGAACGCTGTCCCGATCTGGCAGTTATTCTTATTAGCTGACCACAGAAGTGCTCAGTTTGTTTCCAGAGCTAATAAGTGTGTGTTTATCTTCACAGCTGCCTTCCAGTAAGTGAAGAACCTCAATTAAATCTGGGGACCTGCCTTCTGACAGAAAGTAATTTTACAGGTAAGAAAAGAAGGCTTTAAAAATATTCTTCAGCATGAAACGCGGAGCGCCTGGCTTGCAGATTGCTTCAGCAGAAATGCTGTATCAAGCTGAACGAACAGATTGTGACTTTTGGTCTTAAAAATAAGCAGCGTCGTTTTCCCTTTGCAAGGAATTCTTTCATCCAATCATATTCTCGTATGCAAATATTCCGTAGCTGGTACAGATAAAAAAAGGGCACAAATAAAGCTAAGGGCTCAGGCAGGGCTAAAATTGCTGCGCTTCCCTGATACCTCGTTTCACCTGTGTTTCAGGAACCTGCTCAAACTTCTCTCCTGACAACATGAAGAAGCAAGGCTCACACAGCAATGCTGCTCCAGTTTTGCCAGCACTGCCGGAACCACTCAAAGATCTGAAAATTAAGTACACTAAGGTTAGTAGTCTTTGTGTATGTTAGCTTTTCTTATGCATCTAGCTCAGACTGCTCATTTCAACTTGTTTGTACTGTGGAAGAAGCTTTGAATCAGTACTCAAAATGCTTACCCTGTCCCTTTTCTGATGTTGTTCATATTTGTAATTAATGTTCAGTTATATTTTTTACCATAAGTTTTTCAGGAAGTGTTCAAAAGTCAGAGACTCACTTGATATTTCATGAGAGGTGGGTGTTGTTTTCCTCCTAAAACTAAGATTTTGCAGTGATAAGTTCCTAAAAAACAATTATAACTGTAAGAAATAAGGAAAGGTTCCTGTTGCTATAGTATTTTTCAGAAGAAGAACAAGTTAAAGTTTTAGTGCCACATTCTATTATTATAAGCAGATTTACATGATTATGACAAATACATTTTTGTGGAAATGGACATGTAAAAATGAAAGTAAAATTCACTCTGCTCACCACCTATTTTTATTAGATATAATGAATCAGTTGTTCAGATTAAGCAACTATCATAAAAGAGATATTGCTTACCATACAGTTAATGATCGTACTTTTAGAAACATTTTTGTAGTAGCAAATTATTTGTGTATGCAACTAGAAACACACCAGCAAAGAAGGTCTGACTCCAGATTTGTGTTCACAGCTAGAAGGATCCTCTGGCTGTTTTTTGTCAAAGTATACAGACATCTGCAAGAATTTTACACACGCCATTCACAGAAGTGTATTGAACCTCTGCCCCCTGAAATGTTCAGGTAGAGCAATTGAGCAGAAAGGACTTCTTCTCTTAGGAGAATTCCGTCACATGGTGGTTTTTTCTCATTACCACTGTGATATAAATAATTTTTACTTTCCTAGAAATGCTACTTATTTTGTAACAGAAGGATGTTCTGCAATTATCTAGATTAGTCCTTTTGAATTCTATTCTATCTTGTTTTTTCAAGGAAAACCTACCCAGATTTCAATGCATATCTTTCTTGAATAAATCATGCAGGACCTTACTTTGTAAATATTTAACAGGCTAGAAAAGCTATGTAGCTCTGCCATGTGATAGCTCTTCCTGTCCCAAAGAAAAAAAAAAAAAGAAAAAAGAAATCTCAATATAGGGATAATATATCAGTACATAGAGAGCAGAGGTGTTTCAGAAACCTCTATAACACTATAATATCTTCTTTTTCTCTGTTTTTGTTTTGTTTTTTTTTTTTTTTCTCCAATGGAAAATAGAAAAAAAATGTATGATCAAAATGCCAGCTCAGAAATCCTATGTAAATGAATATCAAGAAATTTCTGTAGAAAAAAAAAAAAAAAAAAAAAAAGTAGTTTTCTATCAGTGTGCAAAAACCTACTCTACACAGAATGGAATAACAAGATACTATGTTTAAAGTGTCTACAGTATCTAATTAAGTACAGTGGAACATTATGAATTCATGTGTTTAAGTTTTTCTGGTTTTGATTTTTTGGTTTTTGGTTTTGGTTTTTTGGTGTTTTTTTTTTGCCCAGAACACAGATTTTATTTTCTTAAAAACAGTATACAATGTATCTCTGCAGAAATTCAATACACTTATTTGCAAAACTGTGTGCATACAAGTGATGAAGTCCAATACATGCTTTCTTTTTGTTATGCATTCCTCCTCTCTACAAATATCACAAACGACTATCTGAAAACCATAAGAGTGAACTGAGGGGCAGGGAACTGGCATAATATAAATTTATCCCATATCCAGCTGTCCTCCTACAATTTAATACAATGTACACTTGTCTTCTTACCCACCCTCTACTATCCATCCTCAAATTAGCACATGGAGTGTGAGGCTGCTGTGACTATGTACCTTGAAGGAGTCAGAATGAGAGAAGCATTAATTATGACTGTAGTCTTTAACTTTCTGCCTGACATATCATGGACATCAGAAGATTCCTCTCTTCAAAAATTCTTGGTTCTCTTTATCTATAATGACAGGAAAAAAACTGCCATCATACAAGCTTCTGGAGAAAAAGTGTACAGGAGTTATTCCAAGGGCTTTGCTCTGAATTTAATGCACACTGTTTTGTTTTCTACAAGAAGGATCAGTTTAGAATTTTTATACAGATTATTTAACTAGAAAGCATTTCCATGGGTGTGGTCAAACACTGGAATAGGCTGCCTGCAAAGGTGGCCTTGTGTTCAAGAAGCATCTGATAATGCCCTCAAGAATTTGCTTATTCTAATTTGTTCTGTTCTATTCTATGGATATATATGTTGGCATTTCAGATTATACTGTTCACTTTAGCAGTAAATTGTGCTGAATGAGTGTTGGTAGATAGCTGCAAATGTACTGGTAAATATTTTACTTAATCAACACAGGGGATTTAGACACTGATTGTTTGAAGAAATGATTTCTGCCATTAATTTTTTCAAGTATTTTCAAATATACTAATAATGTTGCTTTAATCAGAGAAATTCAGATTAGTTGATTGTTAGATTTTTGAATTACAAGAGGGGGATAAAAAACAAATTATTTTGCTAAACTGTGTGTGAAATGTTGTGGAAGACTAAACCACCCTGACTGAAGAAAAATTATAGCTAAGCATCCTGTATGTTATAATTACTGCTTTCACAGTAGGGATAAAAATACAAAAATTGAATCAGAGTACCTGGGAAGAGGGCACTGGGAATAAAGCAACTATAGAAACCTACTTTGTTTAAGCTTGAATGACTCTGTAAATACCAAAGCACTAACTGATGCATCCAAAAGTTTAAATAAACAATGAATAGAATGGGTATGTTCTTTAATCATTACTTCAGTACAGCAGGAAGATAAAATTCCTTTATACATTCATTTTTTAACACAAAATTCTAATGAGAAAAATATATATATATTAAATGCTCTCAGACGCAGGTTTCTGCCAGGCTTGGATTGGACCATAAGACAGACTGCCAATGTTGAATTCATCTGAATGGCACGCATGTTCTACAAGAGCATGTGTGAGCAGGGGACAACAGTTTTTCAGCACTACTTCACTCTCCTTAGTGATGCTGAATTTAATCCTCCAGCAAGCGGCAGGAACCTAGCAACAGCTCTTCTTTACTGCTGGCCACCCCAAAATGCTAGCAGTATCACTTAATGGTTTACTGTCTGCACTAGAGAGGCAGTGAATGGTCAGCTGAACAGTTATCAAAACTGAGTGATTGCTGTTAGCACTATATACCAGGTAACTGTGCTCATTTGAAGAGCATTGTCAAGAAAAGTTTTATTATAGGAAGAGCTGTAGGCTCTACAGTAAAGAGCCCATTAAAAGGTGATTCTCATTCCAAGGAAGATGCATGCAAAGTTGTATTTCATAAGGTGGTTGCTTCTAGCATAGAGCCTTAACAGCTATTTCAGCAGAGCCGTTGTATGGTCAGTCCATTTAAGACAAAGTCCTGAATCAAGTTAATTCTTCATGGAGTACAGACACTAATATGACATTTCCTATCTAGCAGTTATGTTATAAGATGAACTCACTGTCATTTCAAAATACTGAAGGGTGGAAATAAAACAAACAAGCCAAAAACAATATGAAGGGATTAAAAAAAAAAAAAGAAAAAAAGGCAAAGAACAGGTCCTTTCTCCCAGTTCTCCGCTCAGATCACTTCAGTGGTCAAATCAACTGTATAAACCAAAATAGAAAACCTGTGTGACTTCAACTCTTGCTATTAGAGCAGCATCTGATTCTCTGAACTGAAATCAGTCCTTTCAGAGAATCAAGATTTTATTGTACTCTGACAATGGGAAATAAAGCCAATCAAAGGCTTTTGACTGCAATAAGTTTAGTTTAAATGAGAAGGTGTATTATAGTGTCTATTGTGTAATATGTATTTCCAGGTCTAGTGCAATGTGTGGAAGTCATCAGTTTTTCAGTTTGTTGAAATAAAAGCTCGTTTCCCTCTTAAAAATACCAGTGAAATAACAAATTGACAGCAACAATACCTCTACGACATCAATCTATGCAAAATAATTTTCCAGCCTCTAACTTCATGTCAGTGTCCAGTCATTACAGACAACTCTCTTTACATTGCATGTGCAGTAAAATATTAGGTCTTTCATGTTTTCACCTGATAAACAACAAAAAAAGAATGTAAGCTGCTGGAGGAGTTCTACCTGAAAGAAAAAACAGTGTGACTGGTTGCAAGATTATCCCAATTTTGGGGGATTCATTTTTTAGTAAGATGGGAGAGTTGACAGAATACTTTTGGATGGTCCATGAGTGTTGTCTGCATTTAGAGAGCCACAGCCTGCTTGGGGTGGTTGGTGTCTGCTGAACTTGGTTGATTGGTTGGTTGTTTTTTTTCCGACCGTATGGAAACATCTGCATGCAGGTTTCAGCACAGTTGCTTACAATGTATGCAACATAGCATAAATGGAGAGTTTTGACTTTTTCCTCCTCTGTTCTGTCTGTCATACCTGCATAAGACAAGACTGTTGTCTGATTTGAAAAAGACATGTGAATAGTTTATAGATTTATACAATCCTGATACAGTGTTGTGTACATATCTAAAGTAATGAAGTTATGTTTGAAATGGAAATGGTATTAGAGACATTAATAAGAAAAATATTCTAAAGTAATATCATGGATGATACTAGTTGGTGCAATAAATACAATTTTTAAACAAATACTTTCAGAACTTCCAAAAATGGTATGTTTTACTATTATTCCTTTCACAGACAGATATGAATTTGGCATGCTGTAACATCATAGCAGTGTTATGTTAATATTTACCTTTTACTTTGTCTCTTTTCTTGGCAATGTAACTAAAGATGTCTTGTTCATATTAACTACTTAACTGCTGTCTTTGCCCTTTCATGATAGACAGCATTTTGTGCAGATACTCTTCTGGTCAGCTTCATCGCATACTTGAAATTTCCTGGAACTTGCATTTTAGTTTTCCTTTAGACAGCTTTTGTTAAAATAATGAGTTTGCTGATCTGTCCCGATGGCTAGAGGAGATGATGACACTGCATATAAGATGCCAACATATAATCAATCAGAAACCAAGAATATAGTAATAAGAATATAGTAATAGGTAATTGTTACCATAGATGCCTAACCTTTTAATTAGTCATGAAAATATTACCATACTACTCATAAATTATTAAGAATCACCCAGAAAATAAATGCAAGTAATGCCAATAGTATGCCAAAAATGCATTACTTGAAATCTGTCATGTATTGATAGCATATGTGTTTATAGAACTTATATCAGTTCTGTGAGACAAAAAGCATTTATACAGCAATTATGGCACCTTACCTCTGTCCTGCCCTGCATCAACCATCATTTGCTTTGATTTGCCTGCCCCAAATTATGTCCTGGTTTTCTATTTAAATGTAAAAACTTCTGATGCTATGAGAAGCAGTTGTGGGTGCTTCACAGTGATGGAAAGAAACTTAGAAATCACATATTTTCCACTAGTTCATTAGATGGTAGAATTAAACTCAGGTCCTCAAGCTTCTGCCTGCATGGTTATGATCAGTGAATGGATGTGGGGCAAGGTGCTTCTGTCAGCCTGGATCCTCAAAATTGGCAGAGGCTGAACATAAAATTCCCTGTATACTCAGAATCTGCAACTATTTTAATGATGAGCATAAGCAGGATCTCTTTTGTGCCTTTGGTCCACGGCCTAAAACACCATATCAGGTCTCAAGAAACAAGTCCTAAGGCAACATGGCATTGAGTGTATTTCCCCAAACCGGCCCATAGACCATTGGCACTCCCTCTCTCCCCACCTCTCTTTTCTGGGCCTGTGGGCCTGTGAGCCTGCTGTCCCCCTGTCGCAGACTCATATAGATCTAGAGAAAACTCCATCACACACTGAGCAGCAACATATCTTTCTCTTTTCATACTCTGTGTGGTATATAAAGCCTTCCCAGTGACATTTCCTTTCTCTTCAAAGACCATCTTACAGAATCAGAAAGTAAAAGATAACTCTATTCGACAATTTCATCTGTGTAGATTCAAAGATGTTTGGCTCTGGGGCAGCACCAACCTGGCCTATAGATCAGACTCAGGTTCTATTTTGCTTATACAAATGGAGAGGAATACCTCACATTCCTTCCATGGATCTTAATTCAGCTGTCTGATAAATTTTTGCAACTGTGTAATATTATATAACCCCTCAATGACTGCATATTAGTGCACATTTTTAGTAGATCATTTGATTGTCTGCCATTCAGCAATTACTGAATGAGCTCGGAACAAAAAGCAGTGGGCATAAATTGGAACAAGGCTCTGCCTAAATGTTAGGCAACACTTCTTTATTGCATGGGAGAAAGGTTGCCCAGAGATATGAAGTCTTCTCCCTAGAGATCTTCAAAAGTCACTTTGACATTGCCCTGGCCAACTTGCCTGATGCCCTGTGAGCAGAATGAAATGGCCTCCACAGCTCCCTTCCATACTTAACCCTCCTGAGATACCTCCTGGTATCATTTTTAACATAACAGAAGAGAAAACTTGGAATTCCTTTAATTTTTCCTTCAGTTGTAATGATGTATTTGCTAATATTACTTTTTTACATAAAGATGTCCACTCTTGAATTGCTAGTGCTATATCACAAAAGTTCATAAAAGTTCTATTGGGTAGAAATCAACACCCATCTTGCCTTGTTTACTTCTTGTTCTGCATGTGTCAGAAATGTTACAATCAAATGTGATAGTGTTTGTTCCAGACAAAGAAAGTAAATTTAGTGCACACTGTGCTTTTCAGCCTGTATAAAAGCTTAATCTTTGAGTGGAAACTAAGTTATTTATTGCATGAATTTTGTGCATTAATTTCATTCAGCCTTTATAAAAGCTTAATCTTAGAGTAGGGACACAGTTACTGTCATTTGTTAAATGAACTTTGGATATCATCTTCACTTCTGTTGAGTAATCTGTTGTGATTAACTTTGATGTAGCTGTTACGTAGTTTTCACTCTTACATGATTCCTAGCTGCTAACTTTATGTTTTGTACTTTTATAAAGAGGATGAAATAGATATTAAATACAAAGGCAGAATAACATAGGAAGAATGAGGAAAAGTTATTTTATTAGTTATTAGATATATTCAAATCACTGTCAGGGTAAAAATATCTAAGCAAACAAAGCTTGTTTACTTGTTTTTCCTGGTGAAAAACCAGGAGAGGTGGTGTCTGCTGAGGGGTAACAGTGTAGAGGCATTACAGAGCTCCTTTGGGTTGGAATGAAGGTTGGAAGACTACCAAGCTGGACAAGAAGAATTTATTTGCTGTAATGCCCCTCTGAGGTCAAATAAAGATAGACATATTGCTGACAATAGTCAGAGTAACTGGAGCATTAGCATTTTATGTCTATTACCTACAGAGAAGGAGAATTGGCATTAACGTCAGGATTGGAATTGGAATCATTTTAAACAGAAGATAGTCATACTGATTGTAAAGAAATGATGACTAAATTTTTACCAAAGGACCATCTCATCAAAGCCTGAAGTTGTACAAAGTAGCTTTTCTATTCAAGAGCAGGAATTGCAACACATGCTGAGTACTAAAACCAGAAAGGCTTGAATGGCATTCAGGTAGGGAGGAAAGACAGAAGAACCCCTTGCATTCACAACCTTCAGCCGTAATCCCGTCAATCAGTGTGGTCACTTGCACTGTCAGCAGGAAATTTGCCAAGAGTTTATTATGATTATATTAATGTACTGAATGCTACATTATGCTCATAGGATCAGGCTCTTCTTCCAGTATGTACTACTAAGTGTTTTTTTTTAAGAGAGTGTTGCTGTGAAATGTATTAACTGCTAAGAGAAAGAACAGTCTAGGTTTCTTCTATGGCTGCTAGCAGTAAACTTATGGTGAGTACAATTACTCATTGCAAATAATTCCTCTTGGTTTTTGTTTTCTACCTTTGTTTAATGGAATAAATGTTGAGTTTCTGTAGAATACTGAGATAATTGCATCTCTGCATTCAAGTCTTGATCAGAAACACATTCAGTGAGGAACCAGTCCACAAAGCCACAGTTTTTGTGAATAATAAAAGAAAGCTTATGTCTGATTATTTTTCTCCCATAGTGTGGAAATAGATAAATACACATGCTTACTTTTTACTCTGCTTAACAGGTTATTTCTGTTTTTCATTCAGTTGACAGTGGAACTATTTTAGCCTAGACTTTCAGACAAAAGTGTTACTGCATTATTTATTTATTTATTTATTTATGTATGTATTTATTTTGTGGGATTGCCTTCTGTGGCAGGAGAAGGTGAAGAGAAATCAAAGAAAAGCCAAATGAAATGGTGCTGCTCAGGAATAAACTACATGGGCTACTTAATACATACATATATATATTATGTAATATATATTTACCAATCCTGTGAGATCAAGAAAGAAAAGCAGTTTGGGGCAGATTGTTTAGTAACATACTTCTGCTGTTCATCACAGAGTTTGGTTTGAAGGAGGAGAGACTTCTATGTAATGATATCTCTTATAATATGAAACATTGCAAAAAATATCACATGGAGAAAGAAAATGGTTTCTCTCTAAAGGAAGATAGTTTTTAAAAGGTGGTTTACTTCATCACTGTTCTCATCTAAGTTTTGTGGTAATATCCATTCTACTTTTTTTCTGGTACTTATCATAAAATGATAGAATCATAGGATTGCTAGGGCTTGGGAAAGACCTTAAGGAGGTCAAGTCCAACTGCAATTAATCATAGAGCTCTAGATTTATTCTTAAACATAGAGAAGAGTCAATAGGTATAAATATTATTAATAGTTCTGCACTTTTTTTCATTTTCAGATATTTATAAACAATGAATGGCATGATTCAGTCAGCGGTAAAAAATTTGATGTCTTTAACCCTGCGAATGAAGAGAAAATCTGTGAGGTTGCAGAAGGTGACAAGGTAGGATTTACTTTCATTCTTTTATCCTTAGCTTTAAATTCAATTTTATGTTAAAAGTAAGAAGATGAACATCCATTTCTGTTGAGGTAAAATAGTACCTCAAATATTTATCCTATATGCTTTCTTCTGCTTCACCCTTATGAGTTTGTTGATATGAAGAAAGATCTATAGAAACGTTTTTTGGTAATTTTCTTGTTAACAATACTAATTCTTTTTACTGTCTTCGAACAGTGGTGTCCAATTACTGTTATTTTGTTCTTCTTTCCCCATATCTTCCTTATACAATGATGTAATCTGTTCATTACATATTTATTGAAAGCTTTTCATTAGAGATACCATGAAGTGAAAAAATGTTGATATTTTTCCATGCAGACTCTGAAAAATTATTAATTGCTATCAGTATTTTTAGCTGACACTTTGACTTCTTGGTAATGTCATCTTGAAAAATATGGTTTTTGTAAAGAACACAAAGGAAAACAGTCCTAAAACAGACCCTGAAGATGAAGGTCATCTAAAAAAATGAACACTAATTCCACCAAGACTGCTTTTGTTCTACATGTTGAATTCAAGCAGAAGAGTGAAAACATTGCTTAGACTTATAAGCAAACTTTTTTTTTTTACCTATATGAGATTTATTCCTAGAAATATTACAGATAAATGCTATCTAATCTATCTAACTTATCTAATAAAATGAACATCTATATCCTGATACATGCAGCTTTATATCTCATTGTACTAAGTATTTTCAGCTAAAAAGGATGTGCTTAGTTTTACCATAGAGCTTTAATGTATGTTGCCAAGTAGACTAGTTACTTGTTTATATAGAAGACAATTTTATAAAACAGTTTTAAAACTGACAACCAGGGACATTTTTGGATAAACTCTTGAGAAAGTCGGTATGAGAAGTGAATGTTCTATTTCCAGCTGACAACTACATGAAAATGCATTAAAATATTCATTGAACACCATTTTATCCATGACAGATATTAGGATACTTTAAAGCAGCTTATTTGTGCTGGAAGTTCACTAACAATTTATCAATATAAGTAAAATCTCTCTAGCTATATTTACTTAATTGTACAGAGATGAAATATTCTCGAGAAATGTATAGGAAATTAATTCATACAGCTTCCTATGTTCAGGTGCTGCCTGTCCAGTACAGGCATTACATAATATTAGTGACCTTAGAGGAGAGCTATACCAAAGATACATTTCAAACTTTTTTTTTTTTTTAATAAAGACATCTTGAAAAATCTTCATGAACCTGGCTTGCAGTGATTGCATTTTTCTGATCAAGTGCTCTTGAGGTGCCTTGTTCTTGCTTTTCTTCCATCCTACATGCATATAGTGCTCTATGTCACTGACATTTTTTAGAGTTCATTTTGTCCTCAACCAAGGAATTCTCTAAGCATGCCATTAACTTCCAGATTGTATCCTGTAAGCACTTACATTCACAGACCTTAATCGTATTTATATATTATTTTCCTGATTTTAGGTATTCTGGCACTTTTAGTAGAAAAAAAACATTTTGTACTGCATTTATTTTAATTTGCACAATTCATACAAGCGCAGCTCATAGTTTCCCTATGTTCTTTTCTGACATAGGCCAAGGTGTACATCCCAAGTCATACAGAAAAGCTGAGGAATTTTTATGATAAGAAGAAATAAGAAAAAGAATTAAATAGTCACACAGTGCACATCTGTGTGTTACTGTTCTGACCAATTCTGAAAAAATCAATCTGTTTTATCTTGTAGATTTCAGCTACCTCATGTAGATGATGGCTCATTACTACCCTATAGTAATGATTTTGGTCATTACTAAATTACATTAAAGCTCCTTCCCATCTATCATTTTCACAAATTTCTATCCAGGAAGTACTGTGGGTCTCAAGTCTAGTAGACCTACGCTAGGATTTCCAAGGCAGATGATATTTTGGTTTCACTTTTTCCCTTTTTATGGAGAACTGGTTATTGGGTTTTGAGATTGGTTAAAATTTCTAAATCTGGTCCACATTTAGAATAATTGGTATGGGTACTGATTTACTCAATTTTATTGGCTTAGTCAGTCTTAAGTGATTTACCCAGATGATGTTCTAGCAATGAGAAGGGGGGAAAGTAATCCTTCGAACAGTATATGAAAGCAATTGATTGGGAAAACGTGTCATATATGATTCCTATAGTAAGTCTTCGTTTTGGTTGTTGTTTTCCTTGGGAAAAATATTACAAGATTTATAAACTGTGGAAATATTCCAAGTAATGAAAGCTATTTCTCAAGATATTTCTTTTTTATTATTTTATTACATATATATTCTGAAACACATTTGCACACAAAAGAGTTTCATAAAATTTTTGGTGTATTTTCTCACAGCAGTGAAAGACAAGTGATAAACAATACTTTACCTTATAAAAAACATTAATAAATTGACAAATCAGCTTGCTTAATGCTAAGATACTGCCTAGAATACCGAGCACTTAAGTTTAGCATTCTAAACCTGGTGAATTAGTCCTTTGTTATTAAAATATTAAGTAAAAATGTCCCTTAAAACTTTCATAGACACATTTATTTATTTTCCTCTATAGAAAATTTGTGTTCATCTTACAAAACATTTTAAGGAACAAATTTTTCCAACCTTGTATTCAGAACACCCCCAGATATTTTTAGATAGTGTTGAGTATCTAAAAATTTAACTTAGAGATTTTTGCATCTCTTTCTACATAAAAAGATAAAATTTCATTGATATTGTAATTTCTGTATGAATCCCTAATCAGAGATACTACAAGTCTGAATGCTTGTAAATAGAGTTCCTTAGTATGGTTTTTTTTTGTTGTTTTTTGTTTTCTTTAATATAGAATCTTTGAAAATGCATCTGTTTTCACTGAAATTCACATTGCTGAAACAATAATAAAAGTGTTTAAAAGGAAATAACATATCTAAAACTAATGTACTAACTCTGATAAGATTGGGATGCAAACCACTTTGCATGTTTAGAAACCAGTATGAATGACAATTAAAAAGTTTTACTGTTTTTCTTACAGGCAGATATAGACATTGCTGTTAAAGCAGCTAGAAAAGCTTTTGAGCTCGGATCACCCTGGCGTACCATGGATGCTTCAGAGCGAGGAAGGCTCTTGAATAAACTAGCTGATTTAGTTGAAAGAGATCGACTGACTTTAGCTGTGAGTATAATACGTGAACAAAAAGGGTAAAAAAGCCAGTGTTAATTGGCTTAGTGAAATTTTAAAGGAAGATACAAACAGAAGTAATACACTAAACCTTTGGGAATTTGGGCTGTCCCAGTAATTTTTTACTCTGTGTTCTGAATGGCCCATATAAACTGGATTGTATTCAGGTCTACTGATACATCCACGGAGATCTTCAATATTTAATTAGCTTCAAGGTAATATTTAAACCCACAATCTACGCAGTTTCAGTAGTTGATTCTTAAGGAATTGACATAGACTCCATGCCCAACACTTTTCTAAACCAAAGCCTAAATCAAGGCCTAACCTCAAAGCCAGGTTGAAGTTTGCAAGTAGGGTGGGTTAGAACTTAAAGAAATTATAAATTTTGTGGGTATGTATTTTGTTATCATTAACTCTAGTTTGCAACTAGCAATCAGTGGAAAACTTTAAACAGAACCAAAGAAAACAGTAAGTTATGTGATATTAGGAAGAGCATGGGTGGTGGTTGATGATTTCCTGTGTTTCGTTACTTCTGCTTGTTGTCCAGATTTCTGCTCATCTGCAGATACTTAAGCATTATCATTGTCTACTAGCTCTGTACTAATGCAAAAAAGATCTTTTAAAATAGAGGTGTACCAATTATTTGATAAGTGTTGTATCCTACACTTGTTTTACACCTTATGTTTGATGTTACCATCAAGATGCTCTCTCCAAGTTTAAACACAGTTTGGGCTGAAAGACTAAGCACGTTAAGTATTGTCCTGAAGATGAGCATTGCTTTGGTGCCTGCAGTGTCAAAGAGTGTAAAAGAGCATCAGGAACTCAGCACCCCACATCCAGCACCCAGGATCATTACTCAGACTGATCTAATCACAATTTTAAGTATTTAAGCATTAGCTACAAACTAGAACAATAAAATTCAAACCTCCAAAACATAAAAATATCTGTTGGCCATTGTAGCATCTTATTGTTCCTTTGTTCCATCTATTGTTTCTAGGACACACTTGCATGTGTCCTAGCAGATTTTTAAAAGACGAGTGAAAAATTCATAAGAGCTGTGGCTATTTCCTTGAACTCTCAAGATTACAACTCTCAGGCTTACACTTCTCTTCAGCAACTCTCTTTTTTTAAACTAATCCTGTCATCTTGATGTGGAGTGATAACCTTCAGAAAACTTGAGTAACTAGAATTTGTGTCCTTGATAGTGCTAAATTTATTGTAGCTGAGAGAGAATAAATTTTAAGGAACTATATTTTTTTAATAGGAATGGTATGGCCCCTTGCCAGTTCAGTACCAGATAAAGTGGCACTTACTTCTTTGTTGTATAGCCTAAGGCATTACACATGCAAAGAGGATAGAGAAATAATCTTTTTTCCACAGGAAAGCCAGAGCATTTATTTTTTGTTCCCACCAGCCTTTTTTGTAGTATGAAAGCATAACTTTTCTCTCTCCCTCAGCTTCTATTTTGCTGACTTAGTTTTTATTTGCCACATATTTCTCACATTAATAACTACTTTTCCCTTTTAGATTTAGGTTTTAGATTTTAGGTTTACTTGAGTGAAGTGCTTTCCAAACTATCAAAATGAAGAGTAAAATAGCTAAGGAACTCTGGGCCAGTTAAATAATAAATTTAGAAATAAAATAATATTTCTAAGATATGATTAACTCTTGAAACTATTGTTTGATTATTTTATCCTGAGCATCCTAATAAGATTGTTCTCAAAGCTGAAGGTTCCCTCCATCTTTGTACTAGGAAACCTGAGAAAAAAAGTGCATCAGTATCAGCATGTTGTCATTATTTAAGGACATGGTCTTTAGTAAAATACTGTAAAATTTAGGGCTGTTAAAATGGCATACTCCCTAGATTTTATACCAGCTATATTTAGTCCCTGAGGGATCATCAAATCACAAAATTAATCAACTGAAAAATAAAAGATGTTGAATGACTATTATTTTAAAGGTTTAGGGCGTATATTTTCCTAGCATGGAGAGCCATGGGATGGACAGTTGGCCAGCCTTCAAATAAGACAAGTTTTTTTTCACACAATTGTTAGCTAGAAACAAACAAACAGAAAAAAAATAGTATCTTCTCTATATTTATTTTTCATATTGAAATGTTGTCTCTTGAGTTCCTAATGTCTCAAAACTTTCCTCTGCACATGAGGAAGATAAGTTTTTATTTGGGGCTTGTATTCCATGCTTTGAATATAATTTTTCATAAAAAAGGCCTGCTCTGAAAGTAATGCCTCCTATTATATTATATCCCACAACATTAGAGGTGAATTTTGGTGGCACAGTAAAGATTAACCTTCCATCAATATTCTGGCAATTTTGTTGCCCTGCAATGGATGGCTGAGGGGCAATTTGTCAGATTGACACCTGGCATGGAAATGTGTGTGAAGCATGGAAAAGTGTGGAAATGAATTCCTCTGTGCAGCAAAAAAAATTGCATCTGATGAGTTTTGTTGACATCTGCTAAACATTTACGGAGGCCAAACAGTGGACGTGAGCACAATGAGGCTGGACATGGTGCCTTTCATCAGTGGTGACAGTGACAATGGTTCACATTTACTGGTGGCAAGCAGGCTGTTTTCCATTTCTGGTGAAAATTCACAGCTAATGTTGGTGACTATGCTGACAGTGTATCATAGCTGACAATTTGCTCTATCAAACAGTATTACTGTGCTCTTCATATCTGTTGAATTTTCCGTGGAAATAAAACAGGAGATAATCTAGATATGTTGCCAGTTATGCATCCATTAAGCATTCGTAGACTCCAAGCTGTAGATTTTTCCATCTATACTTTGAGAATACTTAGTATGAGCTATAATGTTTTATCTGATTTCAGATAGGAAAAAATGTTATTCTTTTTCAGAACATCACCATTTAAGTGTAAAATGATCCTGCTAACTGAATAGATCACTGAGAATAAAGTATCATTAAATTTCCTTGTTTATAAAATAAACTTTGAGTTTTTTCTTCTAGATGGAAATTAATCTTCTGTCTATTAGTACATGCTAAAAACCTCTGAATTGAACAACCACTAAATGCTAACACTAAATGACAAAGTACATATATTGGAAAGCTTATCAACATTTGATATTAACTTTGTAATTCCTGTTGTCTACAGACGTTGGAAGCTATTGATGGTGGTAAACTCTTTTCTACTGCCTACCTAATGGATTTAGGTGCCGGTATTAAAACAATACGCTACTGTGCAGGCTGGGCTGATAAAATCCATGGTCGAACTGTTCCAATGGGTGAGTAGCTTTGAGATAACAAAAGCACAGAACTGAAGCAATGTAACCTGTAAAAATCTATATTTTTCTAGAAGCTGTGCAGTAGCAGTAAAAATTATTAATGGAATATATTTTAGATTGTTTTTAATATGCCTTATTTAACATCTATCATAATGCTAATTATGAGCATTCATTGTAGTTATTAGCATTGTTATATTCTTTTTTATATGCAACTACAAAGTACATTTTAATGTCTAGGAATATTTTAGCCTATATATACATCTAGAAAAGCCTTATTGGGTACTTTTGCATAGCAATGGGTTGTTTATGCAATGGTACTGTAAGTCAGGTATTTGCTTATTAAAGCTGAGATTAGCAAAAGCAATAATATTTGTTTCAGTTATCAAATAGTTTATTAGGAACAGTACTAAGAGATAAGAATGAGGAAACTTTCCTTTGTTTTCCTGAATTTTCCTTCTGTTTCCTCTCCCACTGAGCAGATCTACAATAACATTGTTTCTAGCTGACTTCTCTCAGAAGGACAAGGAATGGTAATAAAGAAAGAATTAAGGAAAACTGTAGTGATAACTACCAGACTTAATGGAACACATGCTTATTTCAATCAAAGAGAATTTATTTTACTTAATGGATTTCATTTAAGATAAGATCTAATATTAAAAAAAAAAAAAAGTCTGATACGTACCTAGGATTGCAAATAGCTTTTAGAAAAGTATTTTCTAAAAAAAGAAAAAGGTGAAAAGAGAAAAAAGAAACAAATAATATTCATTGGTATGCTGTGCATACCACTTTGAGAAGAAGAGTTATCACTGCAAAAAGTCAGTCATAATGTCAGAGTCAAATGTTGGAGCTATGAAGGAAGCAGAGATTGAATCCAGATGTACTTCATGGTTGTTGTTGCACAGTTAAGATTTTGAAAATATCATTTATAAGTAAAATTACATGTAACTTTATATTCTTTTGATTTAACTGTTTCTCATAAATGTGTCTAATCTATTCTAATCTTCCTTCAGATGGAAACTTTTTCACATTTACAAGACATGAGCCTGTTGGTGTGTGTGGACAAATTATTCCTGTAAGTTGGAGTCACTTACTTAAAAAAAAAACACAGATGTTCCTGTTGCAAATGAGCATGTTTTTAAACTTTTGTAAGTTGTGGATACATTACCAGTGAGAAACTTTCTGTTCCCAAAAGTAGAGACTATCTTGAGTATTCATCAGACTCTTTAAGGCAGAGTTTTAAAGAGTCACTCTAATTAAGCCTTGGCTCTCTCCTCCCTGTATTATGGAGCACAGATCAATGTCAAAAAATTGAATTTGTTTGAAAAACAGAATTGCGTTCTGTTGGAACAGAAAGAATCAAAGTAAACTAGGTGGAGAGAGTAACATTTATACCCTAAAAGAAATAAACTCTTTGGGACCTGGAATATCTATTCTGTTTAGTATAGCATCTGGACTACTGCAATCTTTGGTTATGACTGGGTTACCTTCATGACACGGCAAGCAACAGCACGAAGAGTATGTTTAATGAGCGCCAAGCCAAAGTTCCCAAGCTCTTTTTCAGTGTTTTTTGGATTTATTTATTCTAAGAGAAGTTCAGAAGACCTACCTGAGTCTGAGCATCCAAAACACTGAGAAGATCAAACTCTTTGTTGAGGTTTACATAATTTAGAGGGGTAGCTGTGACAGTGATTACATGCACTACGCACTCCTGATCCACCCATCTCTTTTCCCACATATTAGGTTTGGAAGTCTGCTCTGACCTGCTTAACAGCTTACTAGGTTCTAAAATAGTTGGGTTGTCTGCCAGGCTTGTTCGGACATGTGAGTCCATTCTTGTTCCTGATATCTTTCTGTTGACCTGGCAGATCTGCTGTACCTCTAGACCACTACATTGATCTAGAGAGCATCTCTGGAAAACATCATTTGGATCCATCTTCTTGCAGAGCTCAAAGAATTATTTTTCTAGTTCATTTTGTAGGTCAGGCACGACATATTTCATGTAAAGCAAACTCAAGACAGACAAGACTAGACAAATTTCTATGTAAAATTGCAGACTAGAACTATGGGCAGTTTGTACATATGCTAGCTTCCTATGCAAAATGTTCAAGGACTTCTAAGTATATCTTTGTTTTCTCTGAATTGAAATTTAAAGCCAAGTTCAAAGTCTGTACATAAACCAACCTTTGAGGATTATGTGAACACTGCAAAATACTTTTGTCTGCTCAGCATTTCTCTTCCACTCACTTAGTTCTGCTTCAATAAGGAAGATTCAGAAAGCTTTGTAATCCCTTACTTTGAGTTATTTGTGCTCCTGTTATTTCTGGGGGTGGGGTGAGATTAAAGGAGATAACCAGAGAGATAAAGAACAGATGTATTTATACTTCTCCAAGCATTTCCGAGATAATAGGTAACTGTTAACTGCCTTTTCCTCCACTTTCTCCTGTGTCTTTTCTGCTGATTCTCACAGGCTCAATGCTTCCTAAGCCACTAGAATTATTTTCAAAGGGGCAGAGTTCTTTCACCCAACTTTTTTGTCCCTCACACTGCTGATATGGGGTCCAGAGGAGTCAGCTGCTCTGCACTGCAGCTGAGCTAAGAACAATAGAGAGATGACAGTAAAACCACCATGAAAGAGCATAGGGGCAGTATTATGCTTTATTACTTTGTCTCTCTTTGAAAACTGAATTGATGACAGATCATTCAAGAAACAAGATAACAAAACTGCCAACTTACCACTAATCCAGCAGCTTTCTGTCAGGCTTTGTTAGAGGTGTACTCTTGTTGTTTCCTGTCCCCTGGACTCATATATACCAAAATCACTGATCTTTGTACAACATGATTTGCTAGTTGCTTTCTCAAAATATCTTCACACTGAAAAGCGTTCAATAAAAAGTTCAACTATTCAGTTGTCAATTCGCACTATAATCATAGAAAAAAGCAAAGAGGTTTTGGTTACATATTAGTAATCTGATACACATTCTCATCTGTATTTTAGTGGAACTTCCCACTGGTTATGTTTATCTGGAAGATCGCCCCTGCACTTTGTTGTGGAAACACGGTGGTTGTCAAACCAGCAGAACAAACACCTCTGAGTGCCCTTTACATGGGATCCTTAATTAAAGAGGTAAGTTGGTAACAGCATTGCTTTTTGCCCTTCTCAGAAATGTAAGAGAACACTGCAGCTGAAATGCCACAGAGGTAATGTAAGCTAGGCTGTCCTTTGCAAGTACTTCTTATTACATGTCTAGCCTTGTACTATGGAACTTACCCTACTGTGAACCAGTTAAGTAAATCCAGGGCAAAAGCATGCATATACACAGCTTCATACACACCTACAAACAGAGTTAAAAAAAAAAAAAAAACACAATACAATACTAATTTAGTAAACTGCATTCCATTCTTTTGCAAACATATTTGCACAGTGCCTTTCAAAGTCAAAAGTAAACATTAAGTCAGGAGCAGAGTATTTAGAAGTGAGTGGCAAGGACTTTATTAGCATAGTTATCACAGAAAAGAGCCTGTTTCTACAGCTAATTATTATTATTTTTTAACTGAACAAACCTTTCACCCACCTGGGTTTATAATTAACAGAGAGCTGTAAACCTGCGTTTCTTGACTGATGCCAAATTTGTGAACTCTCTTCTCACCGAAAATGACAGAATATACTTTGTGCTCCTGAACACAAAGAATGTTGCAGTTTATCCAGTGGCTCCAAAGTAACACTGGCAATTGTACTCAGCCCAATAAACACCCAATGTAAAGAAAAAGTAAAAAAGTAAACACCCAATGAAAAATAGTTAAATAGTTCAGCTATCTTGTTTCCCAATAAGATCAACAAATGTAATCTAAAATGTTTGAAGAGTTGGCATGGACTTCAGTAATTGCCAGCTCAGTGACCTTGCAGCATGTTGGCAATGACTTAGCACATTTTATTATTTTGCTCCAAAACTATGATTCAGCAAAGCACACAGGCTGTGGTTTGTTATTTCATGCAAACTCAATGAGTTTTAAGAGTAAACTAAATCCTGCCATTACTGTATCTCATGGAAAATGCTCTTATAGTGGGGCAGGGGTATATCTTAAAAAAAAAAGATCTAGTATACCATTTCTATTATTGTTTAGCAATAAATATTAGAAAGTTCATTTATGTGGAATGTAACTCAGGTATGCCCTGAGCCTAAATAAGTACATATATAAAAATACTGGAGCAGGTCCAAAGAAGGGCAACAAGTCTTGTGAAGGGCTTGGAGAATATGCCCCACGAGGAGAGACTGAAGGAACTGGGGCTGTTCAGTCTAGGGAAAAGGAGGCTGAGGGAAGACTTTAGTGCTCTCTTCCCGTATCTGAAAGGTGCTTATAGCAAGAGCGGGGTTGATCTCTTCTTACTGGTGACAGTTGACAGAACAAGAGGAAATGGCCTCAAGTTGCTGTGGTTTGGGTGGGTAAGCCATGCAAGAAATAAATGTCTCTAGGGTACTAAGGCCGAAAACAACTGTACAACTAGGAAAAGGTGACTTGAGAACTGAAAATGGCTGTCAGACTACAGGAGACAGTCTCCTAGACATTATCACTTCCCTGATTTTATGGGGTTCTCTCTTCCAATTCAGGCAGGATTTCCACCTGGAGTTGTGAATATTGTGCCCGGCTTTGGACCCACCGCTGGAGCAGCAATTTCTCACCACATGGACATAGACAAAGTGGCCTTCACAGGCTCTACTGAGGTATTATAACGAACGCAAGAAAATATAAGCACGAACTGTGCCTCACTGATTCCAAGCAATGATTTAATGTCTAACTTTTTTCTATGTAACTGTTTTAACTTTTTTTCTTTCTTTTGGCTGTTGGTTTGTTAAACAAAGTCTGTTTAATGATTTGTTGGTTACTATTAACTTTAAACGTATTTAAACAATGTATGGCAGGAAAACCATTCAAACAAAGGCACCTCATGACATACAATAGGTTCTAGTATATTAATGCTATTTTAAGGCTTGTCCTTTAAAGACAAAACATTTTTATAGATATTTTTTTTTTTTAGTTCTTAATAAAAATAAGTTCAAAAAATGCAAAAAACTGAAAGACGCTGTCCTGTATTGTCTTTAATGGCAACGTGATGGTAGGTTTTTACTTCAGAAATCTCATACCATACCCAGTCCTACACACATTTAGGTGAGGTAATGGCATTTTTGTGTTTGTATGGATGATCACTGGGGTGGTCTTAGAAGTTTATTTGAATGTGTACCAGTTCAACAGTTGATAAGGAAGTCACTGTTAATTTTCCCTACTCTTTACTCCAAGAATAGTTATTGATGTGACTGAAGATTTGTCCTTGCTGTCACTATAAAACTTTATCCTTACTTGAGTACTTTACATTATCTATCTGTATACATACTTCATGGAAGTATTGCCAATTGGTCTTTTAACTTCTTGGATGTACATTCCAAAGATAAATAGCACTGCCTCATATCAGCAATCAGTACATACTGAGAAAACTCAGAAACCTTGACTAAAAAAGCTATGGGAAACAAGAAGAACCCCAAAGCAAAGAGATTTGAGAAATGTTCCACAGATGTTCCCCTTTGTAACAGCTACAATTCCTAGTGCCCAGTATAATTCCAAAGTAAAGTGGACAGTGGAACGTGTTTCCAGACTTTCATTCCTGTCAATTACTTTTGACAGTGTAATTCAGCAGGAAGAAATGTTATTCCCAAAGTCAGGAAGAATGTCACAGCAGGGATGTTATATGGTAGCTGCTACACACTAAGAGATATAGGCCAAAGCTGCAAGTTCTACAAGCACATTTCACGTTTCAATTTTCCCTGCTATTTTTTCATATTATAAAATTTCCTTTATTTATGCCTTCAGTTGAAAGAAACAGCACAGAGTCTCTGTCTATCCGTGCCCATTTCCCATTTCTGGTCTCCTTATTACTGATAAAGGAGAAACAACTATGAGTAAGATTTGGCACTGTGGGTATATACTGTGGGTATATTTTCTCATACAAGTTATCCATCAAAAGGCTTTCCCATAAATGAAAAGGGAGAAAATCATTTTATTGAGGGCCTGGCAAAGTACAAAATAGAACCTACTTCAGATTATAGGTGCAAGCCATTGGGGTGTTGGTACCAAAAAACAAATTATCTTTGACAGCTAACATTAACATTTCCAGGGAAAATAACTGGCCTATTATTGGTTTCTAGACTGAAAGTCATCTCCATATTGACTCTCCAGTTCCAATACTAGTTTCTCATTTTTTCTTCTTAGTTTTATTTCTGCAGTTAATTATGTATGCAGCTACTGAGTGTGCAATTATGAACTGTGATTATGATTTCTGAATGTTGCTGGATCATATTATTTTTAAAATAACATCCTTTTTCTAACTTTTAGGTTGGCAAATTGATCAAGGAAGCAGCAGGGAAGTCCAATCTGAAGAGAGTTACACTGGAACTTGGAGGAAAAAGTCCTAACATTATATTTGCAGATGCAGACTGTTAGTAAAATTTTCATTACTTAACCTGGTCACTTCTCATTTTGTAAAAAAAATGACTCATATCTGCTTAAAGAAGAATTTTTGTGTGCTTTTGTTTCTGGTGTTTTGTGTTTGTTTGTTTCTGGTAATGCTGTCTATTTCTAGATTGTCACTAGCAGTTGCTGGCCATTTGGCTGGACTGAGATATCTGACAGTCTGCCAACACTTATTATAACTATGATTCTAGTGCAAAAAGAATTCAGAATCAAAACCCAACAGATGGTTTATTATCTTCCTAGTGGACTTCTCATGGTAATGCTGAATCAATATTTGACATAAAACAGTTGAATGTGTTTTTTTCAGAATATAGTGCTGCTGTGTATAAGAGTAGCTTTGGACATTGATAAAATGAGTGAATTCTTACATTTTAAATGATCATGGAAATAAAAAGCGAGAAAAAGAGAAATGAGATGACATGGCAAATCTAGAAATAATTCATGAGGTGACCACTCAAATTCATGATTGATGAAGTCTGCATTTCTTTGCAGTGGATGAAGCTGTGGAATTTGCACACGTTGGTCTGTTCTACCACCAAGGACAGTGTTGTGTAGCAGGATCCAGAATTTTTGTGGAGGAGCCTATTTATGACGAGTTTGTTCGTCGGAGCATTGAACGAGCAAAGAAATACATTCTTGGGGATCCTCTGTCACCTGGTGTACAGCAAGGCCCTCAAGTGAGTAATATATGTCTCTCATTTAATTTTGACAGAACATCCCACTTTAATGTACTCCTAAATCTGCTCTTGTTTTAGTGTTAATGCTGAGAACCGTTGACTAGTGACTGAGAATTAGGAAGAAAAACTGGAGTGAGGGTTGTTTGCATTACCATCAAAGAATTAGTAAGACAGGAGTACGATTTCATTCTCTTTTCCAGATCCATTTGGTATGGAAAAAGGGACCATTACACAGAACTTCAATGCTTTGAGAAAGTTCCAGTGCAACAGCTGTAAAAGTGCAAGTTGCCCATACCACCCATATTAGAGTGCTAGCCTTATATTCAATTGGTGCCTCAGTAAGTGAGTAACTTCAGGAAATTAAAGCTGAGAGTATTTTTCAAGATGCTAGGTCTTTGTTATACTGATCTCAGTTTTAGAATACCACACAATTAAAAATCAAAATTTTGTATTTTGTCTTTTGGTGTTAAAAGGTTATGCCAACAGATTCCCTATTAAATGTGAACTGATTCACTGTGTTCCTGTGTCATATAGCTTCATTGAAAACCAAATTTTTCCACCAGTTCGTAGGCTCTCTGGGAGAACACCTCCCTCAGGCCACAAGTTTGGGTAGTGTTTTGCACAGCAGGCATGAAAGAAAATACAAAAGCCCTGCTGAAATGTAAAATAACATATATATGATAATTCACAGATTATTAAGAAAAATTATGATGATAGCAATAACAAAGAAATGACTGAAAAAAACTTGAGCTGTATCATCTAAACATTTTCTCTTCATGATGTTTATGCACAAGAGATATTTGGCCACCAGGGTAGCAGAAACTTTATATCTTCAGTGTGCACTAAGGCAATTGTTTGAAAGGATAATGACAAGGAGAGCACATGGAACTAAAAATCACCTCCTTATAAATATCCCCAGAAATAAATACCCCTAAAATTATAAGCTTTTATCACAGCTTTAGTTGAATAACTGTTTAGTCTAATATACATCCAGGAATCTCCCAAACCTTTTTGCAATGCTGTGTTGTTCTATGACTGAAATAGTAATATTTGTTGTTTAAGTGAAAAGACACCTTTTTATTGCACGAGTAAGAGAATAAAATATATGTCTACTTCACTGAGTGATGACTATGAACACAGAAAAGAATTTCTGTGCAAGAGCCCCCCCAGAAGTAATTTTAGTGTCTTCATTAGCTAGAGATTGAAAAGTTGAACTCTGACAGATTGAAGAGTCATGAAATTGTTTAAAAGAATCTTTTTCTCTGGTTGCCCAGAGAGATAGTGGAAACCCTGTCCTTGGAGACACTCAAGGCCAGCCTGGACCAGGCTCTGAGCAACCTGATCTTACTGTGGATGTCCCTATTCATTCCAGGGGAGCTATACTGTATGATCCTTAAAAGTGCTTTCCAACTCTTAAGGATTCTATGACTCTAAAAATTTAAGTTCAAAAAAAAAAAAAAAAAAAAGGTGTTGTATTGTATGCCTCCACCAAACAGCATGAACTACCATTGAATTTTTCTTGAAATAAATGTTACTTTGTAGATAATTTCTCTAATGCATGAAGGGCTGATTAGTAGATTTGAAGAGGGAAGAAGAGAGAGGTAAATGTGAGCTCTTCCTTGTCCTGTTCACAATATTTGCTTTTATCTCTTTTGTAGCTAAAAAAACTGGAAGAGGTTAGAGAAATATAAACCTTTACTGTACCACCATCATAAACTCCCTTTCCCTTCCCTTTCCATGCTGTCTTTCTTGGTGAACTTGGGGAAGAAGGACAGAAGTTGTCTTCGTCCAATAAAAAAAAAAACAAAAAACAAAATCTGCAATCTATGTTTCCCAAACCACAAAAGCTAAGAGTCTTTATTCTACTAACAACTCAGAACTTAAAAACAGCAGTGAATTTCAGTTATATTGTACCATTTCTTTTTAACATTCTTTAATGATTTAGAAAAACAGCAGGGCCAATCTACCAGCCCCAGTGAAGTACAAGAGAATCTTGCAAGCTAGATCAATCCCCCTGTTATAACTTCAGAAACAAGCTCATCAATTCTTATTTGTATGAATCATTTGCAGCTGAGAACACTTCTGGAAAAAGTACCATATATGTTTATTTTATAGATTTTCTTTCATTTATATTTAAGATACGCATGCTATCAGTCCTTGTACAGCTGATTTTTCTGAGTGAAAATTTCTCATTACTGATTTACCTGAATAGTTTTTAGAAGTTATTGACAAGAATGTTTGCTGGGCTTTCCAGATGTCCTTCTTCAACACATGCTGTTGAACAAAGCTGGAACATTTTTAAGTTGTGAGCTTGACACTGTTTTAATCCCTGTGTATTTTTTCACTTAGATTGATAAGGAGCAGTTTCAAAAAATCCTGGATCTAATTGAGAGTGGAAAAAAAGAAGGAGCCAAACTGGAATGTGGAGGAGGTGCATGGGGAAACAAGGGTTACTTCATCCAGCCCACAGTTTTTTCTAATGTTACGGATGATATGCGCATCGCCAAAGAAGAGGTAAATAAATTCTTGGCAGTCAATACTGGAGATTTTCAGTTTAAATGTGTGTACAAAATATCCATTCAGAAGGTCAAGTGACTATATAAAAATGTTCCAAATTAATCTGTTGTTCCGGCCTGGTGTTTGAAGTCCTTTTCTTGGTTTCTTAGGCCTCTTTCACCAGTCCATTAGAGGTCAATGGAGAGGAGTATGAGGCTGGCCTGCCAGCAAAGGCACCACCTTAAGTTGATAAGAGATAAGAAATGTTAAGGCTGGGTCTGTTAATTACGTCACCTCATACTGCCCACGTCTCACATATCAGCTATGGTAACTGTAACAGAGAAACAAATGTTGAAAACATAACTTGTGAAATCTGCAGTCCCTAAGGAGCAGCTCAAGTTGCAGTTTTGACACAATAGGCACCAAACAGCTATTTTGCAATGAGTTGTGCTTCCACGGGCGTTTTGCTTAGTGACAATTACAGAAAAGTGTTGCCTCTGCAGGGTTGCTTCATCTAAATTCCTTTGCAGAAGTACCCATGCAGTGTTGAAGGGCTTGTAGTGAACCAACTAAGGGGGCAGTGCTAGGTTAGCAATGACAAGCTGGAAGGAAAAGGGTTATGAGCGCAGAGCTTTTCCGTGAGCACAGTCTCAAAGTAAAGTTATGATCTCTTCATTCTCTGTGTTGTTTGGCTTTCATTTGTCTGGATTAATACTAGTGCAATTATTGTCTGTTATATTTCTTTATGCTAGAAAGCTCCTTCAAAATTGTAAGACATCTAGGAGTTACTTCTTTTTACCAGCAAGACTGCTAATGCATGCTGCTGCTCATACTTCATATGGTTAGCAAAATTAAAAAGGCTAAGTTAAAATGAACACCAGAGCACTGAGTGCTAATTGCAAAGACAAGAAAAATCAGATAAAGTTGCTTAAAAAGTAACTTGAAGTGTTTCTTCTGATCTGTAAAACAGGTAGGAGACATCACAGATACATTTCCTCACAGGCTTATTTCTTTCCTTTAGCTCAGCAGAACTGTAAGAACTGACCTTCTCACAATATTTTGAATCTATTGAGTAACAAAACCATAGAGAGCAAAGGCAATTTAAAGAATGCTTGGATTTTTAATCTCAGGCTTGCACACTGAAGAAACGTTCACTGTTTTTTGTAATCAGTGTAAATAATTCCTCGCAACACCAATTAGAAACTAGGAGTCAATATTTTCCAATAGAATCAAGTGGAAGTCTCATAAATGATGGGAACTGAAGCATTTAGATGCAATAATGCCCCCCTGCCCTACACAGTGTTAGCATGAAGTTGTAGGTAGTGTTCATATACAGCTGCAAACACAGAGATAGCAGTGAGAAAGAGAAGTTTAATAGAATATTTTCTCATATTGAACCCAGAAAGAGAGCAGAACATATATGACTGGTGCACATGTTTAATTGTGCTAATATCTGCAGAAATGAAGGACTAATTAAAAGTTTAGGAGAGAGATATGTTGAATACCTTTTTCAACTTGGAGTTTCCTGAAGAAATATCAGTTGGCTATTCACCAGTATAGATCTGTAACATACCATAACTCCATGTTACATACCTGTTATGCTAGGCATCTCTTCATCTTATTTATTTATTTATTTTCATTGTGTATTGTTTCTTATCTATCGCTTTACTCATTTTTTTTCTTTTTTCTTTTTACAAGAGGCCAACTTGATTTGCTCCATACTATAAGAATATTACCTCCATGTTAATTTATAATCCATTTTAGAACTCTAACATGGATAACCTTGGCTGATTGAATTTAGGAACAAGACTGTCTGAAAGAAACATTTTTTATTGTTTATAAATTGTGATAATAAGATACGATGGTCCACTTCATTTATTTGTATGTGCCTAAAACAGATATTTGGACCTGTTCAACAAATCATGAAGTTTAAAACTATAGATGAAGTTATCAAGAGGGCAAATAACACTACCTATGGCTTAGCAGCAGCAGTTTTTACCAAAGACATTGATAAAGCACTGACATTTGCAGCTGCTCTTCAGGCTGGGACAGTGTGGTAAGTCATGACTCATTTAAATCTTCCCTCAGAAATGCAGAAAACTAGAAAACTGCTTTTGCTGGTACACTATTGTATTTCAACCCTCACTTGTCCATACCTACTGAGATATTACAAATACTTCTGTTCTTCACACATTTGCCCTGTAAACTTATTTTAAAAAAAATGTGCTTACCATGCTTACATATGCTTACTAAAAGTGAAAGAAAACAAAAGGAAAGACAGTAAAGACACTGGTTTCTTTTCTATTCAGGATTTGGGGGTAACCAAATACATATTCAATTTGCAGGGATCATTTTCTGTAATGTGCAAATAAATCCATTATTTGAAATTGCTTGACCATTAATCTGTGCAGAAAATTTTCCTGTGAATGAAAAAATTGATATAACATGATTCAAAAAAGTGTAAGAATCAGTACGGATTGAAGAAGCAGGATTGTGGTGATAGAACAAGGGGAAATGGCTTCAAGCTTAAAGAGGGTAGATTTATGTTGGATAAAAGGAAAAAGTCTTTTACAGAGAGGGTGGTGAGGCAGTGGAACAGCTTGCCTAGAGACGTGGCTGATGCCCTGTCCCTGAAGACTTTCAAGACAAGCTTGAATCGGGTCCTGGGCAATCTGATCTAGCTGTGGATGTCCCCGTTTATTGCAGTGCAGCTGGACTAGATGGCCTTTAAAGATCCCTTCCAACTCTATGGATTCTATGATTCTATAATTCTAAGAACAGTTACAAGTAGGGAGGAAAAGATGCTAAGGGGAACCATAAGGCAGAAAAAACTTGCAAAAAAACTGTCACGTAGAAGTGGAAAAGAAAAAGGCAACCTATACGGAACTAAAAGGCAAAGATGGGAGAAGCAAAAGTGGAAACCTGAAGGAACATCAGACAATATAATTTCTGACAAAGAGTCGCACATTTTCCTATCAGAAAGTGAACAATTAATTTCACTGGCACTCAAAGCACGTGTACTTACTATTTTTTATATTTTCAGCCACAGTACAGAATGGCTTAACACTGAGAAGAACCAAAAAAAAGTTTCCTAAACAAATATTTAAGTGACCTGAATTTGCCTATTGAAAGTAGACATACAGCAGAACTATCTCTGCTTAGATTTGGGTTGAGAGCTGATTCATTGATTAGGAAGGAGATTCGTTGTTACTATCAGAAGAAAGATGTGACTTTCACTCAGCTTGAAGACTTCTGATCAATATGCTACTTCATCACAGTAGCATATTTCTTGCAAATGCATTACTCATATGTATTATACCACAGATTTATCACCACAAATATATTATAGCTGATGGCACAACACGGACTTGTCAGAAGTGAGAAAGGTTGTTTCATACTTTCTAAAGTCTTTTTTTATATAATTCTTCCAGGGTTAATTGTTATAGTGCACTGTCAGCTCAGTGTCCTTTTGGAGGATTTAAGATGTCAGGAAATGGAAGAGAAATGTAAGTAAACAACTTTAATACTGTAGATTCATAGGAAATAGAAGATGAAATTCGAAATTCCAGCTATTAATATTCACAGCTAGGATCACCAACTTGAGATTTTGACAAACTACTCTGTGTAATATTCAGAAATATCATGAATGTCAAGCAAAGAATTCCATTATAAAGACAATTTTCACAAGAACTGCGAAGTAGTTTGCAGACTATTAATATGAAAAACTAATCATTGTGTTTATGGTGTACGGTTTTTGCATATATATAGAAAGTGTCATTGACATACATATATGTACACAGAAATCATGCATAGTTTGTGGAATCCACTGTAAGTGTCCCTTTTTTAAGATTACAAGACATTTTAAAATCCTTGAATTTACTATCCAACTTGATTAAATGCATTGTAAAATATAACTGTATAGTTGCAATACTCTTGTCTTTTCCCAGGGAAGTGGGAAAAGAAATGGAACACAGCTTATAGAAGTGAAAAGCTATTCAAATTGTTTCAGACATAAGATTTACTACAGTTTCAGTTCGAATCACGTCTTCTTTCATCCACATTCATTCTGATATTCATAGTAGCATTAGATTCATATCATGTGCTGTGCTGTTAAGATACAATATCCTACACTTTTTCTACATTATAGCATTTTGCTTTTGGGCTTCTTGCAACATAAATCACAGCAGACTTTTGTTAAGAAATGCAAGGGAAAGACATCAGATTTTTTTTTATTATTTAAAAGAAATAAAAGCTAGGTTTTTCATGCTTTCTTATTATTGGATTCAATATGCTCCTCATAGCAAATGTTGTGCCAATGGCTTCAAAGAGAAGAGATTTATACAAATGCTGAGAGAATCAGAAAATGAAATGAAAACAAACAAAATTAAAAACAAAACAAAACAAAACAAAACAAAAAAAAAAAAAAAAAAAACTCACCACATCTGGACCATTGCTAACACAGACTGTTATGCACTTGATTGCCAAAAATTGGGAAATCTTCACTTCTGAATTATAGACCTTTGTAGAATTATTTTGAAGATTTACTTGCTGTGGGGAAAAAAAAAAAAAGAAAAAAATGGGAAATCAATAATATCACAGAAATGCACTACTGTGCATTTTGTAGCAGTTCAGATTTGTGCAAATGAAGTTTTTCCTAATGCTTGGTCCAAAATCGCAACTAGTACTCTAACAAAAAATATATTTCCACTGAAGAGCAAGGAATAGTGAGGAAAGGAATAAGCACCAGACAAAGGTCTGCCATGGAAAATGAAATAAAAATAAAAATAAAAATAAAAATAAAAAAACTAAAAGCTTTGTAAGCAGTTGGGAATCAGTTGTAGAAGCGGCAGAAATATGTGTGAAAAAATTGCACTGAATTAAGTCAGTGTGTCAAACCATCAGTTTCCTGGAATCCCAGAAAAAAAATCCCTATATAGTTCTTGGAGTTTTAACACCACTATGAAGTGAACTACTAAATGCCACGTAATAACAAAATACATCATCAAAACAGTAAGAAAATTGGGATTCATTTTCCCACAGCGGAGTCCTGAGTACAGGTTTCTGTTTTGCGTACATGAGTATCTAGATTTTTCTGGGAACTGAGTAGCGTTGCATCACAGAAACTTTGGTTCTGAAAAACCGGTCAAGTTATGTCTAAATACCTTTCCTGCATCAAATGCCAACCAGCTAGACACATAAGTAAACTTCATCTTGTCATGTAAAACCTAAAGGTGGAATCATGTTAAGAACATCACACTAAGATTAAGTATTTTCACAGTCTCAGAGATTTCACAGAGGATTAATTATTGCTCCAGTTTACTTGAGATTAAGCTTCTATTTCTTAGACTCTGGAAAAGACTCTTGACAGCAGAGGAAGGCTTTGGCAAAAGATGTGTTGTGTATGCCTGCAAAGACCTAACGCATGCCTGATTTGTTGCACACAAACTCAGTTTAGAAATGCACTACACTGACTGAATGCCATTCTTTTGCACAGGAATGAAACCACTCTCTTTCCCACTTTTCCCAGGAAACAATTATTACAGCTTTTCGAAAGGCATCCAAAAGCAGTTTAACTCCACAGATGTCTTACAGATATGTCTATTAACCCTGTTACCCATCTGCGCAATTGAACAGTGCCATGGAAAGTACAAGGACATAATTTGTATGAAAAGCATTAACTTATTAACTTCGGTATTTCTCTTGGTTTTCTTTTGTCTAGGGGAGAATACGGCCTTCATGAATACACTGAAGTTAAGACTGTCACAATCAAGATTCCACAGAAGAACTCGTAATTCTTCTTGATGTGCAGAATTTAGCTTCTTCAAATGAACCTGAAAAAGCTATTTGAATTCTGAAATGCTTTATGTCCTGCATTATTCTTAACCTTTTTGCTTCCTGATTGTAAAAGAAAAGCTTGCTTACAGTAACAATATAAATAATAAAGTAGAAAATTTAATGTAATTAACTGAGAAAGGGAAAATTTAATGTTTGGAAAATGACTAACTCCTTAAGATTTATTTTTATTTTCAGTGGAAGCTCTCCATAGTGCTATGGAAATGATCCTTTCACTTATATCTTGCATGTACTATTGGAATTTATGTGGTCCTGTAAATGTTAGATGGCAAGCTGTTTTTTCTTTGTGGCCTTACCAAAAGCACTTATGAGTAACTAGCAGGTGAATACTATTTTGTGTCTTTCAAAATAATGGACTTCTTCTATATAACTTTCTACAACTGCTGAATTCTTTCATCATAGTGAGTACTACACAAATGTAATCTGGATACTATTAAAGAATGATAAAATCATACTTCAAAAGTGAAACCTACTTTTTCTTTAGTCTTCTATATTGCACTGTCTTACTACTGGGCATTACATGGGACATATTTTACATCCTTTATGATGCACTACTGTTTCAGTGATGTGTTGAGGTCATTGGAAATACATCATCTTGTCTTTATAGAGACTAAACTCCCTCATTCTTTGAGTGTCATAAGTGGAAAGATATGAACATACGGAACACTGGCCCTTTGCTGAGAGACAGCATTTGGCTCTGAAGTGATAAATGCATCAAAAATTCTTAACAGATGACAAACGGGAAATAATGAGAGAAGGGAAGATGAGAGTTTCCTTTGCTTTGCCAACTGAAGTAATCCAATGTCATCAAAATGTAACATCCAGTAATAAGATTATTTGGTCATTTTTGTAAAAATCCTGTGTCAGAGAAGTGTGTTACTGTGTGTTACGTGTGTGTGTGTGAGAGAGAGAGAGAATAAAGAGAGCAAAAAAAAAACAAAGGCTGCCATTCAACTGAGGTGAAACACCCAACATTTTTATCAGAACCAAGTATATCTTTTGGTTTATTTGATGATACACTGAAGTTGTTCCAAAGAGCTGCTAGTGTAAAGAAGTACACCTTTTGGCATCTGGTAAGTTTGAAGAATTCAGAATATCTGTGTTTGTCTACAGTACATGGGATATGATTGAGAAAGACACACAAAGGCCAGTTTACCCAAGAGGAGAAAAGCAGTTCATGGTGCATCACAAAAATGTACCTGGAATTTCAAAAATACAGTCCCATTTGCTTTACAACCACTTTGTTTCTAATGCAGAATCAAGATCAGGAGTGGATTTCTCTCTGTAATGTACTCACTGTTAATACTAGTACAATCTGTCTGTGAACAAACATACACACATGCAAAGCATAAATTTGTTTTACCAGTGAGTCCTTTCACAACTGAGAGTATTCATAACTATGCTTGCATAATTAAATACTCCAGTCTTTGCATTATGTATGCATATATGTACAGTAAATTATGATCACCCAGTCTGGGCAGGGATAAATGATGACTAAAACTCTGCAAATATTACACAGTAATCATTGAAGCCCTTTTTTTCTGGGCTTAAATTACTATCACACCACTGAAATTTACTAGGATGAAACATGAGAAAAGCAATAGTTGATCTGTACGCAAACACTGCTCATAGTGCTAGTAAAGTTCTGCTCAGCATTTCACAGAGAATGAAATTTAAAAAGAGGAGTGAACTTGTTGCACTTCCTTTTAAATATCCTGAAAGCTGACTTTTATAGTCTGTAGCAGTTACTAAAAATATAGTTTTAATTTGGATTGAAATAGTGATTTTTTTTAATATATCAGTGGATGCCTAAGCAAAAAAAAAAAAAAAAAAAAAAAAATCTATAATAAAATCCCAATTGAACTGAATGGGATGATTTCATTCATGGATAAAAATTTCTAAATTTTAACACTACTGAATGCACTCCTTAAGTTTTCCTAAAAGGTTGACAAGGGACTAGCTTTTGCATACTTATTGGTAAGTTGTCTCATTCTTGCAGTATGAAAAAACAAGTCCTAGAAATCTGAGGTCCTTTAAGTCTTGCCATGGCAGAAGCATCCCCATATTTGCAGTAATTTTTAAAGAGGAAAACTACTGAATGGCAACCATGAGATAGAAGAACTCTTAGATTGATCAGTCAAAACAATGAAACAATAAGAAATTCTCATTCTGTCTCAAGGAAGAAAATTACTGATAATCCCTGACTGCCAGATATCCATGTCTTTTAAGACACACAAGAGAAGATATGGAAAAAAGTATTTTGAGCAAGAAAGGCATCTGGCTTGGATAAGGAGTTAAAATTCCTTGATGAAGGAGGTCTTAGGAAGGAATTTGAAAGATGTGAGATCCTGGCAAACAAAAGGATTTGAGGGGAAAAGAGTAGGATATTCTGTCTGGAACACAAAAAATGAGTGCAGAAAAGTCAAGTGCAAGAAAAATAAGAAGGAAGGAATGAAACAATAGCAGAATTAGGAGTGCAAGAAAGAGTTAGAGCAAAGCTGAGGGTTACCTTGAGGTTCTGTAAGATCTCACTATAATTCTGTAAAAGTTAATGTGAAGATCTTTAACAGAATAAGAGCCCCCACTCACCCTGCTCCCACTACCACCATGTTTACTGTCTGATCATGTTTTCACTGCCTGATTCTTCTGTTCTCATCCGAGTTTTCTTGGTGTTAAAATTGCCTTTCATTTATCCTTCTACTGAAAACTCATATTTAAAAAAATCCTTATTAGGAAAGGTTCCACTTAAAGAAGCAAAGAAGAGTCTCCAAAAATTTGGGAATAATAGTTCCTTGTTAACTTTGTGGGAGGCCTCCCTGAGATTTTAGACTCTTCTCAAGGGCTGAATTATAACCTCTGCTACACTGAGAGAAAAACAGTGGCTTGACAAATATACTGCTCTGGAAACAGAAGTTAAAGATCTGGAAGCAAAACATAAACTGACTCAGTCAAATAAAATGCTCTGTAGTCTTGCAGGAAGGACATAAATCAACTGTTGCATGAAAAAAATTGGATGGGTATGAGGACCCAGTAAACATAATTGTTATCGAATGATTTGACTGTTGAAATTCTGACTTGTGAAATTTGGTCCAAGGGCAGTAACAAAGATGATTAATAAACAGTATAATAAAGTTGCCACAGCCACTTCTGCATATTGCTAGTAGACAGCAAAGAAAGATTTGAGTTAGCCAAGGTGTTTGGTAAGTAAGTATTAACCAAAATACATGAAGGTTGCCCTGGATGGGAGCAGAATAGAGTAGCAAACTCTTTCAAGAAAAAAATTATTAGTGTAAGAGGTATTGAGAATCAAATAATGGAGAAGGGAGAAGAAGGAAGAGCAAGTGGAAAAGGATAGTTCTTTGCTATTTGTTTCTGAATACATTACTTTATATACATCACATTTCTTATTGTTCTATGTGGAATATAATGCTATGACTAAGTAATGTCAGGCTTAATATGCTCCTTGTCAATTTGACATCTTCTGGTTAACTTTTCAATTAAACCACTGTAACAGAGCACCATACTCTCACTGTTACTGCAGAAAAATTCTTTAACTATAAGTACTTCTGTCATAGAATATTAAGAAATTTTGATGACATAGTATGAACCATATAGCTGACATCTAGCTTTAGCAACCTAAATGGCATGTTGATGTTATCATACCTGCCAGACAGTGCAAAATATCAACGGTTTAAGTATTAGCTCCTAGAAGATTGCTGGTGATTCCAGATGCTACACTCTTTCTGAATAAAGCTCGTTATTAGATATAGTGAATATGCTGAGGACTGAGCTGAACATGTGGTAACAGTAGAATGAGACTGGAAAAATTTGAGCAAGATTAGAGATTTATTGCCATTGGAAATTAAGAATGTCTGACAGGCAGTGAATCAAGTGAGAACAATGTTATCCATAACCACCTCTATTAAAAAAAAAAAAAAAGTCTTCAAAAGAATGTGAAAGAAGAAATGTGTTAGTGAATATTGTCTTTGGATTATAATTAGATCTAGTGTACAGATAGATAGACAAAAACTATCAGACACTGACTATGAACAGACAATTCACAGTACTAAAATGCATCCTTAGTAGAGAGAAGTTTGTAACACAAAGCATCATCGACGCTGCTTATCTGCGGTCTCGATGCTTTTTAAAACAAATAAGATCTTATGAACTCCACTGTCTCCAGAAATCCTCAGAGAAGAGAATTAACACAAGTTATCTCACATAAATCTTCACTGGTAATCCACAGAGCACTTATTTTTTGCACAATTTTTGGGCTTTCACTTAGTACCCTGGTCAAGGCTTAACTACAAGAAAAAATGGCCAGTGTTTGCATTTGGATATTAAAGGAACACAAGAAAATCAGAATCTGTCTACAGAGATTTCTTTACCAGATGATAATGATGAATAAACACTCAATACAAGTTACTCAATATTAATATACTCACTATTCAACATTCTTTACCTGTTGTTTTCTCTACGTGGGGAATTTCAAGAGTAAATATTTCTTTCTATGTATTAAGTCAAAATTGTCTAAAATAAAATTAAGTACTTATTTCTGAATGTTCTGACCAATAAACATTTTGTGTTTTGGGGTTGGGATTCAGTTTGAAAGAGAAAGAAGATACAGTCACTCGCTACTAATGCTGATGTGTTTGTAGGTATCTACAGGGGGAAGAAAAAAAAAAAAGAAAAAAAAAAAGAGTAGGAAAAGAGAAAATGTTTCACAAGACCAAGTTAAACAACTGAACAACAAAGAACTACAAAGAACTTTGGAGTGCAAAGTCTCTTCTATATGTCAGCTTCTGCTGCCTGTTCTCAGATGACTACAAATCATGAGAGCCAATAAAGTTCAAACAGCAGTAGGAGGGTAGAGAGAGAAGCACTGTGAGCTCACATACCTGAATTACATCCCTTCAGAAAAACACATATAGCTTCTTCATTAGTCTCTCACCAAAAGTGCAGAGGGAAAAGCACTTAGATTTCTCCTACTTCAACCTCCTTTTCTTAATCCAACTCTTCTTCCATGCAGCATGACTACTTTCTCTGTTAACATCACTGTAAAGGAGATGTGAAATGAAATTAGCTTTCCAAATTGAATGCCGTGAGAAATAACTTTAATAAGATTGAGAAATGCAGTACTAGAGTTATTTATGTGGATAATTTGTGTGGTGTTATACAAATGAGCAAAACAACCAGTCCTCTCTATAGACATAAAGAAACGTCAGAGTGTAATATACAGCACTTATATCTTGCATTTTGCTGATATATATAGATGGGAAACTTAGAGTATCTTATGCTTTTCTCTAGACCTCAGCAAACAATCATAAGCAAACAACTGGTGACATTAGCCATAAGGAGAGTTAATCAGAAGGAAGCATCCTAGAAATCTAAACCTTATGATCAACAAAGTAAGGTGTCCTCAGGTTGTGTGCCGCGCTCACAATATGTTCTCTC